CCAGCACTCAGAGCTGGGAGGCTGGGCCCGCGCAAAGCCGAGCCGAGAGCGCTGGTGGCACAGGGCGGCAGCAGGGCAGGCAAGCCGGGCGGCGACAGCAGGCGGCCCTGCTCCAACAGCCGCAGCACACTGCACGTGGCGGCGGTCTCTGACACCACGGAGCGCAGCTCGGAGTCCTTGCCCTGGTCCTTCTTCTGCTTGGTTCGCCGATTCTGGAACCAGACCTTCACCTGAGCGCAGATATGCAGGAGGAAACGTGGGAGAGAGCAGCAGGAAAGAGCAGGGTCAAAGGCAGCAGGTTTTTGGGGGAGGATTGGGGGTGCCTGGGTTGTTGGGACCCTCCCCTAATCCCATTTCTAGCCGCAGCCCCACCCCACAGTAGAGGATCAAGGCTCCAAAGCTGCTAGTGGAGCAAGAGCCACCACGAGGGGGACACTATTCCACTGGGCTAAGCTTCCGGGTCACGCCAGCAGGCCTAGGCCAGAGAGGGCTACAAAAGCAAAGTAATGAAATCTCCGTCCACGACACTAATAAGGAAGGAAGACAGATATTTCAGTGTGCTGCTGCGATACCCACGGAGGTGTTTTGTGTTCACAAACCGGTGAATCAGCACAGCCTGAGATCCTAAGGCCTGGGCAGGTTGTGCAGGAACTGAGGTGGCTGGGAACAGTGTTTTCAGCCTTTCTAGATCGAGGTCGACAGACCAATGAGTTCAAATTTGGCCACAGAAAATCTATCTGTGCCTTTTAGAGACTCTCAGGGGTTGTTTCTTGCTTGTTAGGCCAAAGACTGACCACCAACCAGCCTCAGACAGAGAAGGTGGGTGGAAGCCGGGTGGACTCCATAGGCCAAGCTTTCTCCACCTTAATGATCCTCTTAACTATCACTTCCTCTGCACTCCATTGAGGACTTTGGAGTTATGGAGTCCTTGGAGCCCGATGTAGACTAAATACATGCCAATGCCCGGTTCCCCTTCTATCTCTTCTGACCTAGAATAGAGGGCAGTGGCTATATTGGAAAAATAGATAAACATCCTATTTAGATTTTGCAAGCTAAAGAGGGTTAACACAGACAGTAAGACACTTTACTGTGCCGTCTCAAATTCAGATTTTTCCCCACCTATTCTGTCTTCGCTTCTCAGTATTCAACCCGGATTTTAGGCCTAAAATGCTCTCCACCTGCTTCAGGGCTGGGCATAGGAAAAGAGACCAGAGAGAGAGCTGAGGAGCTGTTCGCACACTCTGGTCAACCCCCAAACGGCTCACACAGGGAAAACCCTCTCAGCCTTGTCCTGCGTGCTTCTGTAAAACTCCTGACTCTCATGGTGAGTTCCAGAGCAGCAGGGACTTTAAGGCAAGGAGAGAATCTTAGCAATGTGCAGTGCTGGCACCCAAGTCAGCAGACCTACTGACCATCCTACACTCTGTCACCGTCATAGAGGACAGTGCCTCTGAGGATCCCAGAGTGGTGCTCAGGGCTGCCTTTTTAAAGGAGTAGGGGCTGCCATATTTGCACAGGCGGGTCTTAGAGACTTGGCACCGCTTTCTAATCCTTCTTCCCGCAGAATGGATCTGGGTATTGGGTAAACGTAAAAGTCCCCAAACGGGATGTTTCTGGGAATATAACCAAGATGGTATACATTCAAACAGTGGCGCGCGGGAGAGGGGGGGTGCACGATCAGCTTTTGATAAATCAGAATTCATCCAAAATTCTAAGGTCTGAGAGCCAGTAAGAATTCCAAAAGGACGGAATATGGGGTCCCCTGGGCCAAGTCAAGGTGTGCGGAAATTAGACCATGGAGGACTTGCGGATGAGAAAGGAAGTGACAGTTTAAGAGAGATGACAAAGTCTCAGACTCATCCTGTCCACCCCAACTCCTCCACGTCTCTGGGAGGTTCGGTCCGAAGCAAGGTAAACAGTGAGGAAAGGCAGGCTAGGGTGCTGGAAAGAGGAAGCCTGATGCTGTGAGCATCCCGGCAGCTCGGTACCTGGGTCTCGGAAAGATTGAGCTGCCGAGCCAGCTCGGTTCTCTCCCGGCCCACCACATATTGGCAACGCTGGAACTCCATCTCCAGCCGGTAGAGCTGTTCCGCCGTGAAGGACGTGCGTGTCCTCTTGGGCCGGTCCAGATCCAAGCCCTTGGGCAGGATGATTTCTCGGATAGACCCCTTGGCATCTAGGGAAGGGTACATGTCAGCCACCAGAACCCTCCAGTTTTCTCCTCCTCTTTGCCCCAAGCAAGCTAGGGACAAGTCTCCAGCAGGATGCGGCGGGTGTAGGGGTGACCGCAGCCGTGAAGCCGAGACCCTGTGGGTGTATGGAGGCCAAAGGTGCTAACTTCATAGCATTAAATGGAAGAGTAATCAGACTTTGTCTTGGCAGAAGACCCCAGACACTGAAGGAGGGAAAAACTGAATTCTAAATAAGTGGATGTTCCTTCTGGCCTAGGGGGCCTCTGCTGAGTGATCCGAGTCCCCAGTAGCTCAGAGGGGGCCGTAACTGATCACCCCAACCCCAGCATGGCCCCAGACAGCGAGCAGCCTGCACTTCTGCGGTCCCCACCCCCACCCAGGGTCTCTGGCCCGCTCCTACCCTGGCGACAGCAGGAGGAGGGTCCGAAAACCCGTTTGCAGGGCCTGGCTATCTGCTGGGCTGTCTGCTGGCGGGGGCGGCGCTGGCTGAAGCCGGCCTCGGTGCACCTAATGCCCGGGAGGAGCGCACGCCGCTCCTTGAGCGAGGCCGAATCCCGCAAGAAGGCAGGCGGCATCCGCAGCCCCGCGACCCAGCTCGGCGGGTTTTCTAGGCGGCTGCGGCCAGGCCGGGAGCTCAGCGCCAGGGCCCTCAGCCCTGTCTGCCAACTGACCGGGCGCTATCCTGCGGCCGAAGGCTGTGGCTTCTACGCTCAGGGTTCTTTTGGGTGCGCTCTGCCTTCCAGGACTCAGAAGCCCGGAGGCCGCCTACCCGGGTAGGTCCTTATCCCAGAGGACGCGTTCACGTCCCCCTGAGGACCGGGGTCCGAAGCCCAGCTTGGTGGCTTGCCCACTCCTCACAACGCCTGGGTTCCTCTCCGTAGCTGGGCTCGCGGGGCCCCTCAGGGCTGCTAGGGCCGAGGCCCCAGGAGAGCGCGTTCAGGGGAGCCCCAGGCTCGGGTCCCCTGCGGCCCGCCAGACCGGAGAAAGAAGACCAGCAACAACTTTCTCCCAAGTCCTCGCCAGCCCTGGGCGGCGGCGCGCAGCTGCAGCCAGGGAATCACCCCAAAAGAACGCGCCCCAAAGCCCTGCCCATCCCTACCTCGGACTAGGATCCGGCGACAGTAATCCGGGTCTGCGGAGGAATTGGATTTACTTTTGTTACAATCTTCCGAAGCGCCAGACGCCGAAAAGGCGCCCTGCGGCTCCTTGAGGAAGGCGGCCGGAAGGCTCCCCTCGGCGCCCTTGATCTCCCGGCTCTCCTTGTGCGCGGTCTTCGAGACCCTGGCGGCCTCCGTGTCCGAGTGGCACCGGACGTCCATTTTGTCTGGTTTCCCGAACATAGGCAAAACAACACAGAAAAGAAGAAAAGGGGGGAGGGGGAGGGAAAAAAAGAGGCAGAAGGGGACAAAACCCCTACAACGCAGCCTCTAAGCTCCTTCGCCCACGAGAATGAATGTCCCCGCGGGGTGGCTTCGGCGGCCGCGGAGGGTCAGCGGCGACAGGAGAGTGGCGCGCTCGCAGAGAGGCGGCCGGTCTGGTCCAGGATCCCGGTGGAGCAGTGGCGAGGCCGCCTCGTCAGCGCCCGCGTCCTCTGAGCACGTCCAATGTCCCCAGGCTGGCGATCAGGTAGCGAACAGCGCAACTCCGAAACGCGGCGGCTCCGCCTGTTACTGAGACGGCCGAGTTGTGGTTGTCCGACACCCGGGGGGACGCACACTCACTGTTGCAATTGATTACGGGTAATTTCGCAGCCCCCACGTTTCAGTTACCTCATGAATACACTAAATTGTTTGGATAATATATCAGATCGTAATGGATGGTTTCTGTCCTTGTCCCCAATCAAGTAGGGGTTTAGCCAGTGAATAAACGGAAATGATTGGTCTTGCTTTCGGGAAACACAATCAAAGACCCACACTTCCAGAAAAACTTTTGACAAGATTCATCCTGAATTGTTAGCACCATTAGCAGGCATTATTAACTTTCTCTTTGCCTTTGACCTTCCTGCTCACATACTGGCTAAAGGGGGTTTCCTCCAGGCTCTCCATATAGAGCTGAATGGGGGGAGGGTACCCCCTCAGTTCTTGTCACTGAAGAAAGCAATTGCCTCTGGGTGGGGAGAGAAGGGGGAGGAGAAAAGTTTCCCCCTAAAGTCTCCCACACACACACTCCAAAAAAGCCAAGCTTTCTCCCCAAGCGACTCCTTAACACACCTCGATGCTGACAGCCATCTTAAACTGCCGCCCCTCTTCCTGGAACCTCAGTTGGATTTTTTTTTTTTCCATGCCTGCACCTCCAGCAGCCCTGAGGCAGCCCATTCAAAGGGCAGCTTTGTACTCAGAGTCCAGCAGGAAAGGGGGGAGGTGGAGAGAGAGAGAGAGAGAGAGAGAGAGAGAGAGAGAGAGAGAGAGAAGAGAGAATCTCAACTGTGAGATCTGCTTCAAAAAAAAAAGTTTCCCCCAGCTATTTCATTGTCTTGCTACAATGTCTTTGAGAAAAGCAACAGCCAGTAATCCAATAACAGCATTGATTAGGCCACAATGATTCAATTCAAGCGCATGGCCTTGTGCAAGGAGCTTGCTCCAGCCCTTCTCGTCACCTTGCCGGGGCAGAAGCCCTCTCCACGCCGCTCTCCCCATTCATTCCTTTATGGGAAATGCGGAGCAAAAGGAGTGAAAGATGGCAATTATCTAATTGGACTATTAAGAAACAGTCCTCTGAGTGCGGCGGTCTGGCGTGGCTCCTGGGCGGGGGAAGGGCCGTATTCCCGGCCCTCATTCACAAAGAGTGCAGGGGCCGCAGAGGAAAGGGGGTTTTTAAAAGGGAGTGGGGGGGGGGGGAGAGGAGAGGAGAGGTGGGAGGTTTGGCTGAGAATTTTTCCACACAATTCCAAGAATGGGGAGGAGGCGGGCGGGGGAGGGGCGGGGGTCTTGGAGAGAGAAGGTGGGAGGCAGGGAGTGAGTGGGGAGGGCAGTGAGTGTGTGTGGCGGCCTCCATGGGGCTCCGAGCCCGCCCCACCGCCCGGCTGTCACCTCCAGGCCACCGCAGCGGTCCCTCGGGACTGTTGAACGTGGAGGGGGCGGGCCGAGCCGGGGAACCGCTCTCCTCTCTAGGCCACCTCCGGGCCGCTTAGGGGCTTAGGGGTAACCGCGCTTGGTCCGTTCCAAGGCAGACCTCGGGCTTTGAGTATATGACTGGGGATACTCAGGGTGATTGTGTTGAATGGTGTCCACTGGGGGGAATATCCCAGGAGGCAGATTGAGAGCCCAAAGATATCTCTGTGGGGGGAACCCTCAGGCCGGACACCTCCCGGGCGACCCGGTGGCAAGTGCCAGCGACGTCCGCTACCACTGCCCGGCTGGGAGGAACAGAAGGAAGGGAGAGAAGAAAAGGCTCCCCCCCACCTCCGCAATCCAGTCCCCTATAACCTCCCGCCTTCTTCCCCCAATGACCACGTCCGTGAAGAAGGTCTCCTGATGCCTCAGATGCTTCCGATTAAGCGCCTTATTTGCTTGCTGAGCTCGGCCGGCCAGAGCAGTGCTCAGAGTGCTCCTGAATTCCAGCCCAAAGACACACACCCACTCACCTGGTGGTGGGTGGCTAGGAAAAACCAGCGTGGGGCCTCCAGACTCCTGCATAGGAGCAAATGGGAGTCCCTGCTCCGGCTTAACTCCCTGCTCAAAGTATCACTGGGACCCCAGCAACAGCCCAGACAGAGCTAAGCAACCTTAGATGGATCCAGACCCCTAGGCCTTAGGATTCTGCATCCTCCTAGGACATCAAGGGGTCAGCAGGCAGACACACCTGCTACCTGCGTGCTCAAGGCCTGGAGGAAGTCTTTAAAAAAAAAAAAAAAAGTGGCCAACTTCTTTCTGATTTCTGGGGAGCCAGCCCTACCCCTCCACTTTCTTAGAGCTGCATTTTGTTACAAGTAGGAACTCTCGAGAGCTTTTGTTTGTTTGTTTGTTTGTTTTGAGCGCTAGCATATTTGGTGTCTAAACACATTAAATATTCTTAAGCCGTTTCTCAAGAATGTAGCGACTCTCCAGGTTAGAGCTAAATGAATGGAGGTTTCAAGAAGTTCAATAACTTGTCCAAGCCACAGGTCAATGAATACAAAATTCAAACTCCTCTCTGTCTGTGACCTGGTGTTCCAGGTTTTCACCAATTTCCCTAGGCTCTAAATTTAGTTCCCCATCCCGACTTTGAGTTTTTGGACTCCCCAAAGGATGGAGGTTGCTCAAAGTGACACAGGGCTATGCCCTTAATGTTAATGTCAACACATTCTGAGAATCTGACATTCGTTTTCATTTGTGTTGTCCAAATAACATGAGATGGCAGCCGAAACAGGAAGTTTCGCTGTCGTCATGCTATGTATTCGTAGTCAGGAGCATTTCTCAGGAGCCCACCACCCTGCACCACCCTGCACTGACCAACCTGGTTTGGAGTGAACAAAATCCAGTTTCACCATCTCAAAGTTGTCTCACAACAGTCTGGGATAAGAGTTCGGGAATCATTTTTTTATTGCTAGGGAAAGGGGCAACTCTTACTACAACTTAGCTGGGACATTGTATCTTTTAAAGTTGGGGGAATTGCTGCTTATTGGATCTACAAATACTGATTTGGGAAACGAAGACATGGGAATATCTGGGATGAAGTAGAGATTTATTCAGTGTCTGGAAATGTCAGGACCAAGGTCTGACATTGGAGACCTTGGTCTCCAACACAGGCTGTCTTCTGCATCATCTAGATGAACCAATTAACTATGTGAACTTACTGACTTTGGTCAAAACTCTGTTTGCGGTACAAATAATATTGTTAGCAGATGCCCATCTACACACCAAGCACTTGAAATAAACAAATTAAACAAAACGTTGATCCTACTTTTTGCTTTTTGTTGTGTATAGAGTTCTGTGCCCCCACTCCCTGCCTATCTTTTTCCCCTCTCTTCCCTCCTCTTCCTCCTCCCTCCTCCTCCTCCTCCTTTTTCTTTTTCTTTTTCTTTTTCTTTTTCTTCTTATTCTCTCTCTCTCTCTCTCTCTCTCTCTCTCTCTCTCTCTCTCTCTGACTGGATTAAAATTCTATGGGCATCCATCCAGAAAAAAACATGACAGGTTTCCCAGAGGACACAGCGGAGGATGGAAGCCCTGGATGGAAATTTCAGGGAAGCAGCTGCTGTTCCCAGCCAAACGAAAGCTGTGTGTCCATTGGCAAAAGAAAGGAGGGAATTCACTCAATTATTTGGATAATCTGAGACACACTTGTGCTGTGCCGCACACATAAGGACATAGGGCTGTTCCAGGTGACAGTGTTTTATTTCCTGGGCGGCATCCCTCCCCCTCCCAATGCCCTTCCTTCCCCCACATGTCTATCTGCAGGTGCAGAGAGACCTAGAATAGAAGCATAGAGCTGGAAGGGTTTTAGAGATCATCTATTCCAGAACCTTCATTTGACTTGACAGATGAGGAAAATGAGCCGGGAAAGACAAAGCAACTTATTAAGGAGTAGACAACTAGTTAGTGGGGGCCTCTGGGCTTCAGACAACTAGTTAGTTGGGGCCTCTGGGCTGCAGTCCTAGTCTCCTGACTCAAAGTTGTATTCTTATTTCTACCCAGGCTTTCTAGAGGTGGCTAGACAAAGTTCTTTGGGACTGGGTAAGGTGATGGCACAGAAATGAATTAAAAGTCTCTCTGAGCCTTGGGGATGCCTCTCCTAGTCTATGCCTCTGCCCACTTGCTCTTATTCGAGGCATTAGAAAGCAGTTTCAAGATGGTACAAGCACAGTCCTCTGCCATCCTCCCCTTTCATTCCCGAAAAAGTAGGAGGTGAACCTTGCTGGGAGAAAGCTGCAAGAGCCTCTTAGACTATGAGGAAGACAACCTAGCTTACTGTGATACGTCCTTTCAAAAATAATTGCGTCAGAGACGATGAGGCAAAGAGAAAGGAAGTCTTTCCAAGAGTAAATCAGGGTGCTCGATAATAACTAATTGAAAACCAGGATGACTGGTGTTTGTAAGAAATTTCACCTGCAGAGTGGCCAGAGGTGGGAAGCTCAGTCTTGTCTAGTTACTAATCCCAATTATGCAGGATAACGGTTGGGGCAATGGGAAAATAAATGAACACCAAGCTTTTGCTGAACAAGGGCCAGCCGATGTGCAGAGAGTCAAGCTTTGGATTAGCTTATTTACATTTGAAACAATTGATTGCATTTTTCAGCCTTGTGTCTTGTATCAAGAGACTAAGTTTTGTCAGTGAATTACATATTTTGAACATGAAGCATTCAATTTTAAAGGAGTCTTAGAATGACATAACTCAGTAGTTCTATAGGTCCCTTCATTTTCTT